TAGCCCAGTACAGAACGGTTTCTCCACCTTTATCCAAATTCCCCCTTTTGAAACAATGGTTCTTGATGCAGCCGTTTTTTTATGCTGTAGTTGAAATTGATTGAATCAGACTGTAATCATTCCAGCTGTAGTTACTCTGTACAGTACATTGCAGTGTGCAAGTTCTGCTAAGTAATGAGGGCATTAAGAATAAATGCAATAAAATTATCAGTTTAAAACGCTACCTTCTAAGAAGCTTTTTCTTGAAAGCATCCTAATATGGCAACAATAATTCAAAGGATGGATTTTATTCATTACATTGCTATCAGCTATGAATGGTTTGGGTGTTACGAGAGCTATTTTGGCAACAAAAAGATAAGTTTTTTGGATTGTGCCCTATTTCTTAAGTTTTTTTTGGTAAACAGTCATGTAATTGGACTTCTGGAAATCCATACATTCACATAGTAGTGCAATATTTAGGAAAAAAATAAAAAGTGTTCATGCAGGAAAAAACAGTGGATGAAATTCCGTTCTGACTGTAACCACTGAAATGGGGTCAGGTGGACTTTGGTGCAACACATTTCATGGGGAATTCTTTTGCCTACTAGTAAGTCATGGAGGGCCCAGGGCTGGTAAGACATGAGTGACTGCTGCTTAGCAGCTCCTTCAGTGGCTGGAATGAAATGTCTTTTGCTGTGCAAAGTCACTGCTTGCTCCTGAACTCAGGCTCTCTTGGGACATTGACTCAAATCCTTGTGTTCCTTCTAGTTTGATCATAAAGGTTTGACTGCTGTATTTTGAAAGCACACACATCAACGCAGTGTGGTTTTCATGTACAGCTAGCTTTCTCTTCCTCAACTCCCTCCTTAATTCCTGACCTTCCTCCTTATGTCTGACTTTTATGTAAGGAATAAGAAAAGGAATAATGGAACGCTGTGTAGTATGTGAGGAGAGTGAGGGGGAATGTTGCCTCCTGTGTGCTTGGGACTTGATAAATCCTGAAATGCCTGGGAAGCAGCAGAAGGGAATTTCCCTATTGAATTCCTGTTTCATGCTTTTAACTGCAAAACAAATAAATATAGCTACCAACATTGAAATCTTGTCTCTTATGTTTTACATACTGATACGTGGATGACTGTGCTACACTTTGTAAGAGTGGGTTGTCACCTCTGATCTCTCCTTGAGGATTCTTTATCTTGTCAGTACAGATAAATTGCAGTTTCTCGTGGTAGTTCCGAGATTGCTGTTTGAATCTGGTATTGCTAAGCCACACGCTGCATTCAGATTATGCCTGGTTATCAATGATGCTCACAGGAACAGACTTTTTACTCTCGAGGCACAGCTTAAAGTTTCTCCACAGTGTTTTTCATTACAACTTTCTGATACTTGTGAGACAGTCTTGCCTTTTCAGGTCAATGTAATAAGAACCTAGTCATGATCATAGGTTGTGGCTGAGGGTTAGTGAGGATATGAGGATATTTTGCCATTTCTGATGCCTTCCATGCGTACAGCACCCGCCTGTCATGTGGATTCTTCAGCTAACTTCCCTGCCTGGTTAGGCGCAGCATCCTCTTCCTCCTGTGTTTTGGAAGACCAGGGAAACAACATCTGTCTAACTCTGGTGGGAATTGATGTTCACTGAGGTACCCCTTCACTCACACCACAGATCAAACATAAAGAATAAGTCATATGTGCTGTGTGTGAGGAAGAACTGCAGTATGACAGTGGGCAGGGCTTTTTGCTTTGAATCGTGTGGGGTCTCTGATGTAATACTAGCATAATATTTAGTGAATCATTATGATGGGAAAAACGCAGCAGTCTTACTAAAGTCACTGTTAGTTCAGCTTTTATGACTTCAGGGTAATAACATGAGGTGCAAGGTTCATGTAATTGGCTTTTCTGGTTTTGTTTTGTATGTGCAGTGAACACAGTTGTAAAAGAGATCGTAGTTCACCAGTAGAAAGAAAAAGTAGCCAAAGCACACAGTAATAATCTGTTAATGTACAGGCTGTGTAAGAATTGTTAGTCTTCTGCTGAGTAAGAGCTGCCAACAGTCAAATGTTTTCTAACATGGGGAAGGCCAAGGGCGTGGATCAGAATCTGCTTCTATGAGCTTAGTCTCAGTCCAAGCTAACTGAAACCAGTTTCCTGCAGAATTGAAAATACGAGGATGTTCACCAAGTGTATGGGCTTTCTGCCATTTGAATTACTGAGATTGGCTCAAGTGTCTTTTTGGTTTTGTTTTTTCCTCTGATAACCAGTAACGAGGTTTAATTATTTGGATTTTACTGGGCTGGGTATGCCCATCTCTCTCTCTTTCTCACACTGCGGAGCCCAGGGCTGGACACAGGACTCCATGTGTGTCACCGGTACTTGGTAGAGGGGAAGGGGCACCCCCCTCTGCGTGGAGTGAAGAGAGAGAAAGAATATGGGGAAACACATTTAAAAATGAAGGTGGGAGGGGGGTATCACCCACCCAGATGTGTTTCAGAGCCTTCTCTTTCAGAACTTGGACAAACCACCTTGTCACCCCATTCACCGTTAAAAAGGAAGAGGAGGGGAAATAGGGAGGGGAGGAAGGACCCTAACATTTTATTATTGACTTTATTGTGCTACTTCCTCTGAAATACCTGTTCTCTCAGAATTTCTAATCCATTTATCCCTGCAGCCTTTTTGTATGAAAGATACATTAAGTGTATCCTGAGACTGCATAATGATTCCAGATGGATTACTAAAGGCATGCACTAAGCCTGTTTCATGGGGGGGAAGCAGGGCTGGCTAATCAGTTTCTTTAAAACCCATTCAGTAACCCCTGGTGTTTCAGTTGCCTTCGGGCACCTGTATGTGGCCTCCTGGAGAAACTTCAATATGTTGTGCATTTTGCACCTGGTAATATGTCAGCGAGTTGAGCTTCCACAGCTGACAATGTAACCTCTATTGAATGAAAGCGAGAACGGGTTTTCATTTAACAGGGAAACCATTTTCTTGAAAGGCTTTTTAAAATAACTTTGTTCCAACTCTACAGCTGCACAAGAACGTCTTGAGCAGTGTAGCTGGCCATATTGCCTGCCTGCTGCCTGCCAGCTTTTATCCTATGTGACATTTGCAGTTTCGATGCTGAACCTCAAAGCTCAGGATCCACCAGGTCTCCAAACTGCTCACCTGAGCCACGCAAGCAGTTTGGCTGTTTCATCTTCTAGTCTTTGAACCAGCAAAGTTTTGGGTTTATTTTTAGGGGAGAAACTATTTGCTTTATTGTTGCTAGCTGCATTTTGATGACTGAAATCATTTCAATACTGCTCACTTTGCAGATTGGTAAGGGGGGAGCAGTTGCTGCGCGTGGCATTCCTAATTGCTTCATGTATTGCAGTTCACCACTCTGGAGCTGGCCCACTTGCTGTCTGCCTTGCTATTACCTATCACAGTAATCATTCAGACTTTGTACTGTGGAAACCTAACAAATCCTTGGTGTGGGTGGCTGGGCCGTGCACAGCTGGTGTAACAGAAGATTAAGTTGCCCATACGCTAAACGGAATGATTGATAGCCAAAGTTTTCACCTAGCAAAGTGCAGTTTCGTTGCATAATTACAAGAATTATGTGCAGCCCTAAATCTATTCCCTGACTGCGAATTGAAGGGTTGTTCTGACTGAGTTATGAAAGAAATTATAAACTAATCTGTGGAAACAACATCTGTTGTACACAGGCAGAAAAAGCTCTTAGAAGAAAGAAAGAGAATTTATTTCCCTCTGTTTGCAGCTTTTTATAAGACAAAAGGAGAAAAGAGAGAGTATTACAGTCAGTAGCTCTTGTACAACACGTGTTTACGTACACAATCTCATTTGATGGAAAACAAGTTTTGTTTTTAAATATGCCCAGGGACATCAAGCATAGGGAAGTTGTATTGAGTAAGGTGTAAGAGTGGGAATGTGTTTCCCTATCTGTTCAGCACGTGGTCTGTTGAGCTTGTGAGATCTTTGTCATTAATGTCAGAGATTGGAGGTGAGGTTACTCAATAATTACGCTGCCAGAGACTAGAACTGAAGTGGGGAAGGCTGCCTGAGTTCTGGAAATATGCCTCCCCCTTCATGTAGTCCTGGTGCGATTGCCTATTGGGGTAGTTGCAGTACAAGGGCAGGTTCTGTGTACATGTTTTTACTTACACAAAGATAACAAGGTGTTGGAGGTCAGGTATCGGTGCTGGCTGATTTAAAACTAGGTGGGCTTTCTTACAACTGCAAGTGACATTTGTATCTGCGATGGCAATGTACCCTTCAAGGTGGTGCAAAAAATCATCGTCAGATTTGAGGAATACTGGATGAGTGGGGCAGTGAAAAGGGAAGAGTCAAAGGTGGAAACGGTGCTACCAACCCAAGTGATGATTTGGGGTTTTGTGTTTTGAAATTTTTAATTTATTTTGGGTTTTATTGTGACAGCCACAGAAATACTCTGGTGTACAAGGGAAAATGAATTCATTTTTGGCCTTGTGAAAGTAAACTGGTGATGAAGCATCACCAAAGTACTGACTGAAGGGAGGAATGGTTGCATAATCTAGCCAAGGTGCAGAAGTACCAGAAGCTGAGGTGGGTTAAGAGTGAGGGGGTCAGGGATCATGGTTGTGGCTGTGACTCAGTGCTAACTCAATTCACATACTTGTATATTTGTATATCCTTAGAGTCATCTTTTGGTGCTCTTTCTTTTTATAGCCTATTATCTGGCCTATTTAGCTGAACATGATATTGCTTCTGTGGTTAGGTTTACTGTTCTGTGCTCGCCATTAATTACAGACATAAATGTCATCATTTGCATATATGGTCTGTGAGTGTGATCAGGTACTGTTACTACTAGTGGTAAATGAATTAAATTACAGCTTTAAGAATGCAGGGTCTTTTAGAAAGCAGGAACAGCAACTCTTAAAAGTAATACTGTGCCTTCACATACAAGCCTGGTACAAATTCTAGTGTTAGGAATAAAGAACTGAAGTCAGGTAATGTGACTTCTTTATTTTTCCTCTCATCTACAGCAGCCTTGAGAGACTTTGCTGTTAGAAGTTTACTGGTTGCAGTTCTTAGGACTACTCCTTCCTGTGATTTGTGTGAAGACAGTTTAGGTGAATACAGTCAAACTTGAAAGAGCTCCGCACATTCACAAGAATCCTTTACAGAAAAATATACTTTGCCAGCAAGCAAAATTGCTGCCTGCCTTCAGTAGGGGTGTCTCAAGTGTACAATTAAGGTGTATTGTAAATTATTCCTTTAATGCTCTAATGTGTTTGACATGCTCCTCCCATCCTGGTCTCTGAAATAAGTATTCAAAGAGCAAGGGGGCCAGTCCGCAGTGGTCTTCTCTCCATGTTTCTTCCAGTTTTTGCTGTGTGTATGGACTGTTGGAACTGACACGTTGCAAGTGCCGCTATAACATTGAAAGTCTATTTTTTTCAATAGAAAAACAGCTTCCAAAAAGTTTACTATGGTATTTGCAGGCATATTGGTAGGGCATTAGCCAGCCTTAGCATGAAGGTCTTGTTCAGCTTTGCAGGTAGTGCAGCTCTTTAGGACTGAGCAATAGCACTTCTCCACGTTGTCAGTCTGTGGGATAGGAGGAAGAAGTTAAATCCTCCTTAACACAAACTCTTACCCTTTGTTCTAGCAAGCTGGAGGAGAGGGTGTTACTGAGCAGTGGCACTAGGTGCTGAAATAAGAATACTCCAACAGTATTTTTCATGAGGGTCACTACATCACTTAAAATAATAAAAGCAAAACCCCAAAGAAACCAAAACCCAACCAAAACCACTTACTGGAGTGGCAGACAAAGCTAATAGCTTTTCACCATTACCATTGTTCTGTGGAAGCATGCTCTGTGTGAGCTTTGGGAGGAGCTGCCTGACTGATCACACTGCCTTGGTGCAGCTCTTTGGGTTGGGTGGTATGTGTGTGTGGAAGGCTGTACTAGGTACCCAAGGTTTTCCTTTTTTGCCCGTGTCTAATGCTGTAAAGAGAGTCTTTTTGTCCTCTTCTGCTCTGAAACACACGTGCATGCTTGATCTGGCAAGTGGAAGACGAAGTTTTGTGTTGGTTCTCATGTAATTTTGGAAGGCCTGTAGGCAGTAGAACCGGTGCAACTTGATTTGCTATGGGTTGGTCACATCCCAGCAGGTCGGGTGGTCAGAGGCAGATGATCCCTGTCAAACCAAAGGCGGCTTGAAATGCAGGAGAACATTTACCTGTACTACTGTCAATAACAACATTAAGACACACTCCATTTTACTAAGGTAAATTGTAATTGCTGATTGATACGGTACTAACAAAATTCAAGTCCTAGCAGGACCCTTAATTTTTTGACTGAAGAGAATATAATACTTATTTTGCATTAAAATATATACAGAATTATTAAAAATATAATGTAACAATTACAAAATTTAGAAGTATTTTACATTTCTCCACCATTCTGGTTTTGTGGTTAATTGTCCATGTGGGCAGTTTCTCATGTTACACAGTGACCTGTTAATGTTTAATTTCAAGTTAGACACATTGGAAAATGTAGGAATCTGCTGTGATTAACATTATTTCATGTTATAACTGACACCCTCTTGAGTGTTTCTTTTCCAGATCTTATAGCTGCAGAAGGGATATAACTATACTATTTTTCAGGCATTATTGTATGTTGGAATATCATAAGCTAAGGAACTAAAGGAATAAAAGTTCAAAGGTACTTTTAATACATGTAAATTTCCAGTTGCTGTGAAGAATCTGAACTGAAGCATGTAATCCACTGTGAGTTGTGTATTAATCCTGTGGAATTTGCCTGATATTTAAGTGAACAAACACACCAGTAAGAACTTTCTTTTGCTGCTACAGGGCCACAGTGATCTTGCAGCTTGTATAGGGAGGTGGGGGGAAAAAAAGATGCTCCATCCTGGTCTGATGTCCTGCTGCAGTTGTTACTATTTTTTTTAAACTCTTACATAATATGTTAATGTAAGATGTTAGAGTAAGGGCAGTAAATACTAATACTGCAGTAAAAGTGATGCAGTTGGCATGCCATTACCTGCAAAGACTGAACATCTAAATACGGCAATATTCTTTAATGTAGAACTGTCAGGTACTGGAATTAAACTCTATTGCACTGGAGATTTTCCACTGTACTTTCTGTTTAAAGAAATTCATACAGTTAAAAGGAGTTACAGTGGGTTCTTTATCTCCCACAAATCCAGGGCATAACATTTTTAGTGTGAGGAATGTGGAATAATAGGCTTATACTCTGAATTAGCTAAGGGCTACATCCAAAGCTACAGCAATTATGGACCCTGCTACCTATGCTTAAAACAAAACCTGGTTTAAGTATCAGTATTCATTGTGCTTGATAGTAAGAGAAGAGGCATTGTGATCGGATCAGAAGCCAGTGGTGTGTGTAAAGAGTCAAGGGGTCAGGATCTAGCTAAGTTTATTTCCTTTGGGTTTGCCTTTGTGTCACAGGAGGCTTTGCCACAAGCCTGCTCCCAGTGGTTCTTGATCCACCTCGTGATGGAGCTGGATGGCGGGTCCCAAGGGTCCTGGGAACCCCAAGGCAGCTGGGCTAAATGGTGCTGCCAGAGTGGGGGCTCTGCACAGCACTGCAGTCCTTCCATCGGGTGCATTTCTTACCCATCCATTTCTTCCTTGTTATTTACAAACAAATTTTATGGACCTTTTGCATTTTTAGAGAGGAACATCTGCAGCCTCAAGTACCTGCTGCATTTTAGAACATTATTAGCAAAGTGAAAAATGGGTATTCTCAGAGATGCTGAGAATAAAACAGTTGTAATCATTGCAGTATTCCTCCCTGCATTTTTTGACCAAAATGCAGTAGCAGGAAAACCCTTGTAATTTCTTTTCAGAGCTGTATCTCTGATATACATGGCCAGTATATTTCATTTAAGAAGTCAGTGGTTTTGATTTGTTAGTGGAAGGACTTGAAGAGGGAAAATGTTCAACTTACAATGGCAGGGAGAAGGGGAGGAAATCCTTTCGAATGACTCGGTGTGAAGGAAAGAGGTTGAGCTTTCTTTCAGTGGGACTGTTGTTATTCAACCAGAAATGCTCTGTTTGCCCTCCTGTAGCCCTGGTAAGTTCTTTGGGAGCTCACAGAATTTAAAGGCATCCCTTCCAAGTACAGTTCTTGATGGAAATAGGAGAACTCTTATAAGGGTTTTAAACTGAATTCATCCAGAGAGCTTTGGCGTTTCCAGTGATTCCCCATCTGAAACAAAACCCCAAAACAAGAAGTCTGTGATCCATAGCTGATGCAAGTATTTTGTATTTATTGCTATTCACAGGGAATTAAACAAAAGTTCAGGAAGCACAGTGAATGTGAGATTTGGGTTCCTTTAATAAAAGGGGTTAGCACTTGCTGTTTTACTCTTGAGACATATACTTTGGGTTTTTACAGTGAAATGTGTGTGCAGCCTCATCATGATTTCAAAGGTCTTTAATTAGAAACCATGGTTTTGACCAGACAGGCTTGTTGGAAATTGTCTGGGAAACTTGTGGAACCTTCTGTGCCTGCCGGAAGCCCACATGGATTACAACCTGGAATACAGATTCACTGAGTACGTTAGTATTCCTTGTGTATGCATCTTTGACTACCCCATCTGAATTCCCAGTTAGTGTGAAGAAGTAATGCCTTGCCTCACTCATGGCCTTGTTTAAGAAGCTGGCCATACCGGCAACAGGATTAAAGAGAAGTCTGAGGGTTTTAAAGTAGGCGGTTGCTATTCAGTGTGGAAGTTACTTTTGGATACCTATTCCCATGAAAACGTGTGTGTTTTACTATTGCTAAAAACAACCAGGGCCCAGAAAATGAGCTTTAAAAAGTTCTGTTATCTTTAATCTGCGTTCTGTGTTGCTGCGTTCTCTGGAAGCTGCCTCCTTGCAGAGGCTCTCTGCAGTTGTAATAACTTCTCAAGTTTAAAACTGAAATACCTGCAAAAAACCCCTCCCAACCGGTTGCCAAGAATGATAACAGCAAAGAATACAGCCCATGTGAAATGGGTGCATGGTTGAACATGGCTAAGAATGAAATCAGCCTTTAACCTGCCTGCAGAGCTTCATCATGGCAAAGCTGCTCCTAGTGTGCACAGAGGAAGAGTTTACACTGTTGTCTGAGCAGTGGTGTGAATGTGAATTGATGATCCATATTTATTTGGAAGGAAATCTGGTTAACCCAGCCCTTGATAGGCATTTCTGATCTCCTTCCTTAACTTCTGTATGGTTCTGAGCTTTGTCTTTTTAATGAAAGAACCAGGAACCAAACCCAGATTTGCACTGTGGTTCTCAGGTGTGCGCAGGTGATGCTCCAGTGGCGGTCTTGGTCAGAGGGGAAAGAAGGGAAAAAGGAGAAGGCAAGGGAACATTTTCATGGGATTATTCTCTAAAGTGGCCTGTGAAATATGGCTGCATTGTGTTTGGAACCACAGGATGCTGGATGAATGGTAGCTTGTGTGGAGGTCACTGAAGCTTCTGCTTTTCACTCTCTTGCTCCTTTGCAGGGTCTCCCAGGTGGATTAATTTGGGTGGGAGGGGGATGTGTGAGAATGTGGACAGTCACTTAGAGTGCAGCCTGGGTATTCCTCTTCACAGGAGGCTCTGAAATGATGAGTGGGCAGGCAAGGAAATGCATCCCGCTGGGTTGGGTATTAAATGGTTACCAGCTGAGCAGCTGGTAACTGCTTTCTTACCCTCTTCTGTTACTGTTGCCCCTCCAGTATTCAGAATTGTCACTTGTTAGAACTTTTTTTCCCCTTGCAGGTAAATAACAAGTTACTCAATTCTTTTTGAGCTTTTTTAATATACCCTTTAATACATGAGTTAAATCTGGATTCTCTAGGTGCTGCTTTGATGAAATAAGTAAAGTATTAGTTGTAGTGCAAGTTTATAGCGGATTTAACGTGGATAATTGGTTTGGTGAGGGCCAGGGTGGGCTGGTGGGGGTCAGTGGGCATTGCACTTCTGGGGTTTGAAGTTTGCCAAGCTATCACTGCTGGGGGGCTGGAGGAAGCTGGGGCTCACAGTGTTCCTTGTCATGATTAGGGGTGAGGGGAGCCCTGGAGCACTGAGTAGGGGGCTTGCAGAG